TGAAGTTAAGACACATTTCCAATATTTCAAGTAATTTAAAAAATGATATCTCTGGGTGTGTTATTGAAGAGTTCAAGCAACCAAAAACAGCAATTGTGCTGTTGTACGATATTGATCGTCGTTTCTTGATTGATCTACTTAATTAAATCAAATATTTACAATACAAAACGCACGGCTAACTGCATAAAAAACAATTCAGACCGTTCGGTCGTCGTTGCGGCGCGGCGGCGCATTCGCGACTGGGTGCCCGCCGAGAGCCCATCGAACTCGAGTGGCGTAGGTATGACTCGCTTTCCGACCGTTTGTATGAAGATAGAATACTGTATGATATTATTACCGTGGCAACGCGGTTATGTGTTTAAAGCCTTATTCCGGCCAACAGGCGACCATCAGAAACCAGTAAGTACTTCGTTTCTTCAAATTCGAGTGTTACCAGTTTACAGCAATGGCCTCACTAAGTTTTTGTTCAATAATCAGTTTTTTAGTGAGAATTGGGTTAAAAATCTTGTGACAAGGGCATTAAAACATAATATAGCAAAAGAAATATACAGAACTGACGATGATGCCACGGCTGGTAATCGTTAGAAACCGGACATCGCTTATCAGTCGTATCGTGTTTAATAAACGGGTCGCATTGCTGCACACTCAGAGTAGTAGATCAAAACAGAACTGACTAATTAAAGTAGGTATAATCGATAAGTAACTCGTTAATTGATTATAATATTAGTGAAATACTTGAACAGTTTACGTCCCAACTAAGACGTCTATTGCCTTGATGAAAAGCTTACTGTTAGTTCAATGCTGATAGATAAAGATGTGTTTGTACCGGACAATATCGTTAGGCCTTGCTCAGACGACACGTGCACGCTACGCATAAGGCCCGCGCGTCATCACCCGCGTCAAAACCGCTTCGAAATTGGTTGTATAGAATTTGAGTTTTATGTCACTACAATATAGCTCTAAATCCATTTATTGAAGTCCAACCGCGCAAGCCTCGCATAAGCCACGCATTACATCCGCGCGATAAACGTAATTTGAGATTTATTGATGTCTTAAGACGCAATTTTATGCAAACGATGCATATGCGTTGCATCCGCAATAGGGGTAATGACGGGGTACAGTAAACGAAATTCTATTTAGTCCGTCAGTTAGATGATCAAAAAATAATGGACACGTATTTTTTCTTTGGGCAATCAACCAAAAAATGACAACGTTATAGCGCGTCAAAATTTGAGAGTCGGGGCTCGTTTCGTCACTTTTAAGAGAAAATTGTACCAACCCGTGACGTCATGCGACTTTTCAAATCAATATATCTCTGCAATGTTTATATTCTGTGAAAAAATAAAAAAAATGTGTCCAATACTTTTTGATGATCTACCTGATAAACGAAGAATAAAATAGTCATCATATCATCCCTATTTAGCTATTGTAAGGTACCCCTCCACGCTTAGAAGAAAAGAAGATTAAACATGGCGGGTCGGTCGGCGCGGATCATCTGAATACGTCCTTAACCTTTTTATTATTACTAATTTCTAATATCGGATTTCTTTCTTTTCCGAGTTTCGAAAGTGCCGGCTTCGCAAGGAAGAAATTAAAGTTAATATTCTGGTTTTTGCGACGAATATCACGTCTCTTATTTTGCCCTAAGTTTGGCTTTTCTAATTTAGCAGATAGCATTTTAGGCTAAATTTAAATAATGAATAATATGCATTAAAGTAACATGATGTATGGGTAAAACTTACTTAAGCTAAACAAATGAGTCAATAATCTTATCTTTTCAAAAGCATTCAAATAGTTGTCCCTTGGTTTTAGGTTTTTCCCCTGCCCTTAAGAGCGGACGCGAGCTGAGAGAAAATTGAGAAATAGGTATTTGAAAAAACTTTTGCAAATACCGTGCGATAGGGACAACAGTAGTTAACGCTGGAAATCGCGTAATAAAAATTGCAAAATCCAAAGTTTAGCTCTCGACGATTTCTCGACGAAAGACATGACGAATCTATAAAGGTTCCATTTTTTGCCATTTGGCTACGGAACCCTAAAAAGGAAGACATAGGAGCATAGAATGTGACTTTCTTAAAAAACAAGTGGTCTTAAGCTACTCTTATATAGGTTAAGCAGCTTCAGTATAAAATATCGCAAGAATACAGTTACTCGGACAAGTTCAGTGTCAAAATGTCATGAAGGTCGCGTAAGCAGGCCGACCGCGCCAATGTGCACTCGCCACAAAATCGCACTAGTGCTTCCTAAGTTATTTCACGATAATTTTAATTGAAGATAAATAAATGTATTTCAACATACATGTGATGAAACGCGCGCCGATTCCAGTAGAAAATCAGCTGTACCCGACTTATAATTTGGCCTAGTTCTTAATGATTATTTAGGGTGGATTTTTCAATCTCTAGAGGGATCCTAATTAGGGTTGCTAGATATACTATAATATATAGTATTCTACTATATTTTGCCTCTGTATACTTTATTATATACGAAACGCATAAAGTATGCTATAATACTATATTTTAAACTTAAATTTAAAGATCACAAGTTGACGTTAAGTTAGGATTTAGGTAGGTAAACATTTCCGAACGCACTCATAAAAAAAAGTAATATATTTATGCATGTAAAAATTGTAATAAGGACAATAATAAATATACTTTATTTTTTCTGTTTGTCCTTTATTTTTCGATCCTTCAAACCGTCAAACACTATAAAGGACAATGGGCAAAATTGTATGGACGCTGCACCCACGTCCGCCACGGTTTAAACTACATTTGTTTGAAAGGTATTATAGTCATAATCATCTGTGCCAAAGCGCATCAAATTCTATCCCGGGGGTCTTTAGTTATTTTAAGTTAAATAGGTATAAGTTCATAGGTAAACGTAACTATAACGAACATAATATATATTAATGATACAAGGACGATTATATAGGACGGATATATTATTTGATGATCTCCGTGGTGGAATGGTATGTACGCCGGCATCATGTAATGGTATCATGGTGTCGCCGACTCGAGAGGCCCCGGATTCAAATCCTGGTGAGGGTAGATGTTCGTGTGATGAGTACGAGCATTTGTACTCCAGTCATGGATGTTTAATATGTATTTCTATATCAATATTCTTATATATGTACTGCATATGTATTCTATTCGTTACCCTAGCATCCCATAACACAAGCCTTACAGTGCTTACTTTGGGGCAAGGCTAATCGGTGAGTGTAAAAAAAGGAATTAATTATGAAACATTATTTCATTTCAAATATTTTTAATATTCATCCACAGTGTCTAAGAAGAGAGCCGGTCTGTGAATATCCTCGTCATGTCTTGCCAGACATAAAAACCATATGACCACCATAACATGAGCACAGCAGCCTAAAGTGCAGTTTCCCGTTTAGCATGAGCATAATGAATAAAATAAGTAATAATGTTTTAATGGATTTATTCCATTTTCGTCTTCATTTATCAATATATAGGAGTAATAGAGCTTAGACCTCGTATGCCTCGAATCTATTTTTGCTCGCAAAAGCCACAGATTTTTTTTGGCAAGCATCGCAAGCACGGTTATTTCATTCAGCCAATGTCAAGTAAAAGATCCTTCTTTTACTTGACATTGCCTGAATGAATGCATATATGCAGAAATGCATTTAAATAGATCCATAGATTTTTTTATTGGCTCGTACGATTATAATGACGTACGTGATGATAATCGTGTTCCTATTTCCAAAGCGTGTTAGTTAAATATCAATGAAGTAACAGGGAGCGCACAAAAAGTAAGACATATAACTGCATACGAGTAGACTAGTTGGAACAGCAACTGCAAATATCACATCCTTCAACCCCCATACCCTTACCCTGTTAAACGTTTTGAGGCGTCTCGGTAAGTGCAAGCAGTAAGCAAGCACGATGTTCGGTAGGCTTTGTTGTATAGTATTTTGTATCTGGTTGTATAGTAAGATATGACTCACATTATTATGGCTAATATTATGTAACGAAAGTACTATTGATTTTGAATGAATTTATTTAGCTATTTAATAATGCCCATGTGTGCAACCGGCCGCCATGACTTACACACGACTGATGGTTTTCTTTAAGGTCTATGTGCGGAAACCTTAACCCCTAATATAGAACATGCCCATATGTATATCTTTTGACTCCCAGGATATTTTTTTACGGTGTCATAATAAAAAAGGCTAGTTTTTCATAGATCTATCGATTCATATTAATTACATTGTTGGCGGAGCTGGGTGCGTTTTGCCCATTGTCCTTTCAGAAAAAAAATCGTCCGATATCATATTATATAGACAAAAAGAAGAGTTCTGTTAGCTAATTCTTATTTATGTGACGGATGACTTTTACGAAATTCTTGAACAACGACCATAGGCAAGGAAGCCTGCGTAGTAGCAATTTTACATACATAAACGTCTACTGCGCAAGTTTATGTCTCTGGTTTTGCTGAAGAAGTTTGCCGCTACCCAAGCTACCTATAACAATTTAATCGACAGATAAATTTTAGTCGAGTTTAAAGAAAAAAATATCCTTAGGGGGACAGTGGTTTTCAAACTATATATGTACTAGCAGACCCAGCAAACTTCGTGCCGCTATAAAAATAGGGGCAGGTGGTAGAAGAAAATTTAGGGTTGTATGTATTTTTTAATATCACATTATAAAAAAATAAATATTGTCCAAAACAAATTTTAGGGGTGTGTAAAGTAGTGTCCTATTAATTTCCTGGGATAACATTCCTGCTAACCCATATGAGAACACTACGTTACAATACCCAATAGTTTAAATTTAGGCGCGAAGGCGCATTGTAGGTTGCAGAAAACTACGTTACAGGTGGACAACCATTATCACTTAAAGATATGAAAAATAGATAGTAGCCGATTCTCAGACCCTTGGAATATGCATATAAAATATCATAAAAATCGGTCAGGCCGTTTCGGAGGAGCATGGTAACTAACATTGTGACACGAGAATTTTATATATAAGATACTAGTTACTTACTTGTATCCCGTCAAGATGTTGAGCAGGGTGGACTTGCCGGCGCCGGACGGGCCCATAATGGCCGTCAGCTCGCCGGACCGGAGCCGCCCGGACACCGATTTGAGAATGGTCTTCACATCTGGGAAGGGAATATTGTGTTAATAACATCAATATCAGCCTGTTATGTGCCCCACTGCTGCGGTAGGACTTCCCTGTGGATGGATACGGGAGAACACGGACCATGATCCATCTCGAGAGCTCATTATGCAATGATGCAGCCCGGACCGATGGCTCATCCTGCTTTCCGAAGCAAGGATGAGCTCATTTTTGTACCTCATCCTATGACCGGCCATTACAAAAGTTGCTTAACTTGATTCGAACCCAGGGCCTCTCGAGTAGGCGACACCTTGAAAACCTGTATACACATCACTCAATCACGGAGTTCATCAAATCAGCTGTCGATTTCTTACGCCACTTCATCATCCGTCAATCTACTTTGGTTTCTTGAGGCCCTCATGTAGGTTCCAGCGTTGTTTAGAAGCTTTATTTCACACTTGGGCAGAGGAATAGGGAAGTCAGTAAATCATGGATGGAATAGGGAGACTGGGCCGTGCGTGACCCAGAACGCGGCACAGAATTGGTGGGTGCTAACGATAGCAGATGCAGCCGGGACCAGCGCCTTAATGTGCCTTCCACAGCACGGAGGAGCTCAACAACTAGACAAACTTGCAGTTAGTATTTTTCTAAGCCTTCTCTATAATAATTGGCCTCCAGACTTTAGCAACTCCTGTTTTGCTAGCATGATCACTGCTACTTACATGATATGAAACAATGATTTATCGATACTTAACTGTCAAGATCCCTTGCATTTTCACAGTAAATAGTGATAAATTGTATAGTGATGTAATTTTGCAGTGATCATGTTTTGAGAGCATGATAATGGTTTATCACTTGCGTGTTGTTTTGATCTATAAATAAATGCGTGTTTAATATAAGTTCCTCAATTTTTATCGAATTTATTATGATTTTGATGAGTTGAGTCATTTATGTATAATTTTAGATGTTTTTGAGATAATTTGTACCAAAGTATAAAATTGGGCAATAATCGAAGGTGTCCTTTTAACTAAATACATATTCTGGCTTTGTGCAAGCATTTTACATAGAATACCAAAATTTCAGTTCTATAAGTCATTCCATTTACGATCTAGATACCTGTGACATACGAACAGACAGACGACAGAGTGACAGCAATAGGATCCAATTTTCCATTTGGGTACGGAACCCTAAAAACGACAAAGTAACAAATCATTTTCCTAACAATCGCAGTGCTAGTTAAAGGTAATATCTGTCGCAATATACCGCTCTGAGGTAGACAATTACTGACGCAGTCAGTAATTATATTGTGGCACAAACTGGTGGTCGTAATTAGAAGCGGCACGTGAATTATAGGCAACCTTAACTTGGTGAGTACGACTGTAGAAAATTGTGTAATACGGTAGTAGTGAAACAATGTTGCTATCTAACCTTGTAAACGCGCCTTCTTAGCCAATTACACACTTTTGAGGGTTCCGGACTTTTTGTATAGATCCTTGGTGTCCATGGGATCAAATCACCGTCGGGCGTGACAACTAAGATTCCTCCTAGGTGAAATCCCACTCGTCACACTGGGCAAGTACTTTTTTTTTTCAGAATTTTCACACTCCTCCCCGGAGGGGACAAAGCTGGGGATGGCAAGCGGGATGACCGCTGTCAGCGAGCTTCGCTTTTACACAATATGACCGCGTGGTTGTCTGACAATGTCACTGTAGCAAACAACAGATTACTATATTCCGACTAACAGATTACTATTAGATTGAGGTGTAGACTTTCTAAGCCTACTCAAAGAAAGCTTCAATTTGATAGTTTATCGTTCAAGACCAGAGGGTCTAGCCCAAGCCAACAGTGTTAACTTTGCTGTGTAAATTGGTGTTTAAGGTGCCTTCCGATCCACTAGAGATGGAAAAATTTGGTATGGAGTTAGCTGACACCCTGGATTAACACATAGGTTACTAGGCGTTTAACTGCGTGAAAATATCCCTAATAAATCGCGGGTAACACCCCGAGGCACAGCTAGTATAGCATAAATTAACAACATTGTAGTACAACATTGCAACGAAATCCTTATTTTACAGCTATATATGTAATTATCTAATCGCAATGTCTTGACAAGATCCGTTTTCAATCACCTTTACTTATCTGTACTAATTAGGTAAGTAAAGATACTAATTATATTTCAGTTACCAAGCAATGAAACGGATGCAACGAAATTAGAATGACACTAATTCCTAAGCATAATGGCGCAGAGGATGATGCATACAATTTGCGATTGTGAAGTAATTCTCAATGACCAGTATAGCAATTGACTAGCCCAAGGATGGGCAAACTACGGCCCGCGGGCCCTCGAGTGGTACAATTTCTGCCCAAAACCCAAAACAAAAATCAAAGGCAAATTCTACTAACAACCCATAACTCCACCGACCAAAACAAAATCATTTTGTCATGTTCATGTTCCGACGAGGAACTGCCCTCCGCCGCCAAACCACCGCTTGAATAATAAATATTAAGAAGTACATACTAATTACTTTTATTTCAATAAAGAAACTGAAAACTGACATTCCAAAATACAACGAAAACTTTAAAATCGTCTCGCCTGCCATAGATTTCGATAGTAAATATTGCCATGCTAAGGAAATAGTTTACCCATCCCTGGAGGCCTACTGTAATTCAACGAAAAACTACGATCGAAACTTCGCACTTTTCTTACTATGTTTCTTGTTCGTTTTTAATTATAAAAATATTCGTCGTCGTAATATATTAAACTATAGAACGAAACTATATTCCGATTTGCTATTACACTTTTTTCACATATTAACGCTTTAATTTATAGTTTCTAATTCTAATTCATCGCCTTTTGTGTTATGGTTGGTCGGCATTGGCGATACCAGTGACCAAGTGAACTACGACCGATAACCAGTCTGACAAGCAGATATCTGATTTTTATCTTTTCTGCACATTTTTCCGTAACTCGACCATGTTCTTCGGTGTCTTATTTGCCTCACGAAGTGTGCTTCACCGCTTTGGAATTGCAATAGATATTTAATTACATAATTCGTTCTCAAACCCTTGCGACATAACTAGCGTGATAAAATTAAGGGTTTCACTTTTTTGAAGTTATACTTCTTTAGGCGCGTTATAAAAAAATTATGAGAGTGAAATTTTAAGATGCGCGCGCATCTGTAACACAAAAAATTCATGAAGTTGGTCGCTTTAGCGACCAACTTCATGTGCCGCGCTGCCATTACCGCGTCGCCCGCCGCACCGTACGCATGCGCGGCCACTCGCGGTCCTAGCGCGGGAAACACGTACAACAAACATCGGGAAAAGTTACGAGTTTTGAATTTAGAACAGAGACTGTTTTCATATCTATATATATAAAAATGAAACCCGTTGTCACGACATAACATGAAAACGGTTTGACCGATTTGGCTGTTTTTTTTGTAGTTTTCTAATACTCTGTACAAGGTTCTTACGGAAAAAAATATAAAGAAAATCCCAAGGGGATAAAATAAGGAATGAAAGTTTGTATGAAACTTTATCAATTTTAAACCGATCGGGCTGAGACTTTGCATGCAGGTATAAGAAGAATCATAGATGAATGTCATTGTGTATAATACAAGCCTGAGAACAAAAACTGTAGTCTACACTTCAGCTCTACACCGAAGCGAAGCGAGGGCGGGCCGCTAGTTTATAATATTTATCCACATGTTTCTAGTTTGTATATTCGGAATACGTGTTTGAGTTTCATACAAGTGCAAATCACATATGTTCTAATAAATTATATTCAGTAGCGATTTTAATTGAATATTTTAATTATTTATTTATTTTTTCAAATTAAAACTGAACTTTATTGACTGTGTCCTTTTCCAGACTTTTTATTAATTTATTGTAATTAATTATTTGCATGCAATTAAAAACTAATTTTAAACGATGCCAAAGAAGGATAACTACTCACGCGCCTACATAAGTACACGCACCCATTTTTTATTGTAATAATTGTACCAAGTACCTACTTTTAAACAAATAAAACCACCGTCCAGAATTTAATACGCACATTAAAAATATAAACAAACCAAGATATTCCGACCACAACAATGCGAGGTTATTAAATTCGTGGTCGAGTGGCTTATAGGACTAGGGTTACCATCCGTCAGGATTTGACCAGACATGTCCGGAGTTTTTACCTGTTGTCCGGCTTTTTAATTTGTCAGGATTTTCTTAATTAGATGGAATATGAGTAAAACTACTTATTTAGTTATATCATATAAGTCAAATAATCTTTATTAAGTTCTCATTAATTTAAATTAAAATAGAAATTATCTTTAAAAATCAACAACGAGACCTCCCTCGCGATGTGAGCGTCTGCTACCACGCGTATAATATCACTGTAACTAAGTGGGTGATGTTTGCATTTTGTGACTAAAATGTCCGGACTTTTATAGAAATGTCCGGCTTTTTGCCGGAATTTCAAATTTTTATATAGTAACCCTATATAAGACCCAAATACAAAATCATGGTGTCGCCCGTAGATTACAGAACAAAGATGGAGCGCACGGAACACCTAATATGTGGCACCAAAGCAAATACGAAGGCAAAAAAAAACACATTTTTGTCTTTGTGAACAATTTTTACAAATAAGGCGGCACAGAGTTGATGTAAACTTAATATTCACGTAACGCATTCACACGCTGCGTTGTAGTGTACTGCCGCGAATTGCTATTCGCTTTTGACTTCGTATTTGCTATGGTGCCACGCAGTGCATGTGCCGTGCGCTCCATCTGCCTTTTGTTTTATAATCTGAGGTGTAGCCTTTCTGTATCTGATAGAAATATAAAATTTAACTTTTAATTCTCTCTGGTTTTAGTGATTGTGGTACCTTCGTATTTCCGATTTCCACACAAAGCACTTCGGCTACTTACTTCGAAAACAGATTGAAGACAGTATGTAATGTTGTTTAATTAATTAACATTACACCATTTATGCATTTGTATGATCGCGTCTCCGTATCTCGTACTTTGATAGCAAATGCAAATGTTCATGTTA